GTTTCTGAAACGACAATCAACCTCTGCAACTTACAAAGAACGATTTTCATGATGAAGTAATGAAATTGGGTTGTTAGCGGAATAAAAATAAAATAAAAATAAAACAGCTTACTTAAATCTTTGGTTTTTATTAGTTAGGTAGGTTCCGATTTAACACATTGTAGTTTCATTTTTATACCTATGATCTTGACTTTTTTACCTAGGGGATGAGTACTTAAGGGGGTTAGATTTTGATAAGTTCTTTAGTGGGAATGACACTGATGAAGACTGCACATTGTAGTCGAAATACGTATCTGTCATGGATACCAAAATTAATTAAGTGGAATTAAATGGAAGATAACCTTTTTTGCTGTTTTATAACGATTTTCATTTTAAAACTGAGCAGGCTTGGAAAAACTCCTCAAAATAATCACAGGAGGTCCAGTTTTCCAGTTAGTTTACTCTCACCTTGAGCGAGTAGCGGTAGAAATAAGCAAGACTTATACAGGAATCCCCCGAATAGCGTGGTGGTGCGGTCCACTCACCGCTATTTCTCGACTGTCCTCCAACCAATTGAGTTGATTTTCTATAGCTGACTAGTGCATTGTTGACACTAATCAGTGATTAGTAATCACACACACAAAAAACGAGCTCAATTGATTGGAGGACAGCCGAAAAATGGCGGTGGGTGATCATCACATCATCCACCGCGCTATTCGAGGGTTCCTGTACATAAAGCTCAGCGAGTAAGAGGGAGAGCGAACTCATGCGAGAAAATAATTTGGCGTGTGGTGCCCTTTGAGAGGCTCCGGGTGCCTTTTTTGTTCGTGGCATGAAGCTCAGAGTGGAATGATTTGTGAGAAGGGATTCTACTCCTCAGAGAAATACTAAGCCTAGCTCATTTTAGGCTCACGAGGGAGGTTCTACCAAGCTTTCTCATGAGAAAAGATTTACAGTTTTTGCAGCTTATATGCAAAACATTGGCTGCTGCTACTTATAAGAAACGATTTTCTGTTTCCAAAACTTATAGGAAACAATTGTCGGGTTTCCCAACTAATTAGAAACACGTTTCAGCTCCTTAAAATGTATAAGAAATAATTTTCGGCTTTTGCAAATTATAAGAATCGCTTATAACCTTCTGTAGCGTATTAATAACAATTTTCGGCTTCTTGTGAAACTTGAAAAAAACGGTTTCTGTGCAACTTATAGGCAAAGATGTTCAGTAACTTCCAGTAAAGATTTTTGGCTTTTACAATTTATTAGTAATGATGAACGGCTTCTGAAACCTTCTTCTTCTTCTAGGCTTATTCTAGGCTCAAGAAAATGTCCTATCAAAGAACTTTCTCGAACAAACAGGGAATCAAACCAGCCACCTTCGGCTTGGTAGTACCGTGCCTTGACTGACTAGGCTATCTAAAATCCCTTAAAAATAAAATAGCAAGCTTCGGCTTGTACATCGAATCTAATGCCACATTAACAGACATACAAAGCAGTACCGTTGTACTCCTGTAATCTAGTATCTCAAAAAGTATAATTTCAGTTACTAGCTTGAAGCAGTTGTTTGTCTGTACAATGTCTAAGTTTCTCGATTTTCGGCTTCTACATTGAATCTAAGGCAAAATTCTAAGAATATATTCCTAAGAGAGAGTTCACCGTTTGGAAAATTTTAGGCTAATGTCCTCGTTGCTTTCATTCAAACTTTTGTCGATTCAGTCCGTGTGACGCTTCGACCTCTTGTCTATCAACCTTTTGCCCTCGAAAAGGTCGATTTTTGGATTTTAGTCAATTGAAGAAACGAGTGGCATTAGTTTCAGCTGACTCAAGAAACTGATTTCAATATTTAGTAGTTCATGTGATCTTAATAAGAATGTTAGATTTATGTCATACTAATGACGGGTTGGTGTCCGGTGAAGCTTGTTGTGTCTCTTTTGAAGATTAAGAGATACAATTTCAGACACGCTTTCTTTGCTTTTCCTATTTTTCTCTCTCTCTTGGTCAGATGAGATTTCAGATGGGATTTCAGGTCAAATGAGATTTAACTCCAACAACGATGATTCATGCTTTTTTTCAATTCTTGATGAATATTTCAAAAGTTTCAATCTGCATTGACCGATTATCTTCATCGACTAAAATTGTCCAGGTTCATCCAAGTCATCCATTAAGGAATACTTAAGTTTTTGTTTGCGCCAGTGTAGATCAGTGCACGGTCCCTAACCTCTCTTTTTGTTCTAATTGCTGCATCCCTTTCATTTTGTATCAGCAAAAAAGTGATGGCACTGCACTGAAACAAGTGTTGATGGGTTCGGAATGTTTCCAGGTGTGGAGTCCCGTCCCTGGCACTTGAATCACCAATTGACAATCGACGCACGTCGGTTATTGGCACTCGATTGCGGAACAAAGGCCGACGTTGAATAAAAGTAATAAGAAGAAGCCAGTCTGCTTTCCCTATAAACGAAGATATGGTTAATGTTACAACATCAAAATACAGTGAATAAAAAATACCGAACATAAACCTACAGTAATTGATAAAAAATGCACTTAGAAGTCATGCTTTTCAGATTACTTTTTTTTTTCTGAATGTGCTCACAAAAAGTCGATGTTAGACAACTTTTAATTCATATGGCATATTAGCCATTTGGTTTTTTTTTTTATATATTTTTCACAGGGCCATACGTGAAGCACTCGGAAAAAAATCGGTTCCCGAAAACGGGAACGGACCGTGAACTAAAAATCACGCCAACTATCCAGAACAAAATTTTCTCAAATATACACCGTGAACTATGGTTCACGGCTGTGGTTCACGAATATGGGAACTCTTTTTTTTCCCGTGCAGTTTTTGTGAATTTGATATGGATGGCAAGTTAGCCGTATCTTCGTTTATGGGCAGGGCTCCTCTCTTATCCTAGACCCTCACTAAGCGGCAACATTGAACTTTTCATAGACAATTTAGTGCTTTTAAACTCTTAACGGGATAGTAGACATTACGCACCAAGTTAAGCTGTGATTTCCATTGTGGAATTTCATGAGGCACCCAAAAATATTACCAAACTCCAGCTAATCTTTATCGCTAAATGAATAATACCATTTTGGCGCATGGAGAGATTTGTCAACCATTTCCCAACATGGAGTAGTTAACATCAATATTTCACCCAACTTGGCACAGATTTGTTTTTAGGTCAACATTTGCATTTGTACTTTACCGAGAAGTTCTTTTCAAATTTAAGCAAAATACGCTTGCGTCAAGTTAGATCAGACCTGTTCCGAAGCATCTGCGCCAATTTAAAAGCAGCGTCCAACTTCAGTTACGCCAAAACTGGGCCATCACTCGGTCAGCATACCAATCAGCTCACCAAAAAAAAGCATAGAATTAGCTTCTAATAGTCCCAGTCTTCGCCGTCAGTCACCAAAGCAGTATCATTTGTACGAACAGCAACAACAACAGCAACGAATCAAAAATTAAAATACAAACCAAATCACAGTGCGTCAAGCACTTCTGGTAATGATTGGTCAGCACCATCAGCAGCTTGGGTCCGTTTTTGGTTCGCCGTCGTGACTGACACTTTGGACCTATCATCGAATATTGCGATGTCGCCGTACCTACGCTGCATGCACTTGACATTCCTGCCACGTTAGGTCCCTCTCATCGATCGCGCCAACACCTAAAACGCAGCTAATGGACTATGGCCTAACGAGCTGTGCGAATGGCTCATTACTGGGTACTTAAGCACGGTTTAACAACTCATTTTTTTCTCATTGTTGAAATTTTCGGGTTTTTACCTGGCCAGTTTTCCATTCATCGTAATTCGTTCGAATTGCATCGTCATCGCATCTGGGCTTTGACACGCTTACACACACTCACCATCTGTCAAAGCTCGCATGCGTGTTGATTTATTGCCATTTGAGTCGCGCTCAAGTTCACCCTTCTTGTCACAAACGTGTCATATTTACAAATTAATCTCGGAGTTGTACCACGCAGCAGCCAGCCAGCCAGTGCGATCACGTCGCCATAAAACGGCCCACTCGCAATGTGGAGGCGCGAAATGACTGGCGTCAGCGCGTGCGTCGTCGTCGTCGTCGTCATTCACCGTGTAGCACATAAGTACACACGACGCGTCGACTTTGCAGAGTAATCTAGATCGAGTTCTACATCGCCGAATTAATTCAGCTTTTAAAATTTGAATGGGATGTATAAGCCAATCTTCACGGATCTAATTGGTTTCTTCCATACAAGAACGGAACCGCGGGATTTCCGCTCATGGATCGATCTCCTCTGAGCCGAAAGCAAGTTCAACTTCAAGAGGAAACTGGAACGCGACCGGTTTCCTGTTTTCGAAATCTCTTTCCACACAATCACCGAACGTCGCGAGGCGAGCTCAAAGTGACAGTTGAAATTGCTTACTTTCCTGTTGTATGTACAACAAGTATGACGACAACCACGATCTCGAGCTCAAAACGAGATTGTTTACATTTGCTTTACTTTTGTATGTAGTACTGGACGCTCGCTCGGTCCGCCAGAAACCCCCTTTTTCGCGAAAGTGAAACAAAAACAACAAACCCAAAAGAAAATCAAACAAGACCTGTGGTCGTCGCGCAGTGTCTGTCTGACTCATCGTGCATTTCCGCTGACGAAGAAGTTGAGCACTTCGTCACGCGGGGCCTCACTTACTGGGGTCTCTTGCAAGAGGCTATTAGCTATGGATCGTTTTTCTTTCTTCTTTGCTGGTTCATAATCCGAGGTAGTTGAACGAAAAGGATTTTTTGATGTATGGGTGGGTAGCTAAGACGGAAATTCTTGACATATTTCGACGGTGATGAGTCAAATTCCATGCTGCGGGTGCCCGGCGATTGTGCAACGCCACAGATGTCGCCCTTTTATCAGATGAAAGCTATGCACGTGTGATGTATCTACTTGTATTTAGGGAAGAAAAAAAAGTTACCAAATCCGATCATTGCCACGCTACAGCACCATGGTGTAACGAAACCGAGCCGAAAATAAAAATTTTGAAACACGTCTTCCACAGATAGCTATTAAATGATTATCTTGCCCCTCTGTCTGGTTTGATCGGATTGGAAAAGTTGAAAGACGCGCTCCGGCAAGATGATCAAGTTTCGTTACAAGCGGAAAGATGCTTCTGCTGCTGCTACTGCTACTACCGGTACCGCGACGCCGACAACGGCAGCAAGTGGTACCAACGTAACATCCACCAGCAATGTCGTCTCGTCGACAAGCAGCTCCTCTATCACACCTCCCCACTATCTGCAACCTGCTTCGTGTGCAACGTTACCAAAAACTACCACCTCTAGAAATGCCATCAATAGTCAAACTGCCCTGGGCGGTCAGTACCACCCATATTGTGATATCAACAGCTACAGTCCAAATAAGCTGAGTGCTTCCACCTACTGCCTTAGCAATGAGTCCTATCATGAAGTCATAAACCGCATGAAGACTGAAAGCGTGCACCAGCAGCACTACGAGTACATGTCCTGCATCAATTCGGTTGTTGTGAGTTTCCGTGCTACCAATGATCCGCCTGTTCCCAACCTAACAATAACAACACTTATAAAAATGCATTTTTTCCCTATTCTCCTCAGGAACTTTTCTCCCAGCTGCAGACGAGTTCGGAACCGGCTCTCTGTCCGGAACCGTTGCGACGAGCGTTGGCCAGCGGTCCACTGGCCGGACGACGCTTCCCGCTAGGATGTCTCGGTGACGCAGCCGAATGTTTCGAGCTGCTGCTGCACCGGGTCCATCAGCATCTGTCTGCGAGCGATGGGGACAGCTGCGATGCGCCGCAGTGTGTGGCCCATCAGCGGTTCGCCATGCGCGTTGTGGAGCAAAGTGTGTGCGAATGCGGTGCCAACTCGGAGCAGCTTCCGTTTACGCAGGTGAGTGTTGCAAAAAAGAAAATAGGGGTTTGTACTTTTTTTTCCCCGTTGAATTAGGTCCGTTTGTGAGAGTCCGAATAAATAATAAACATAGTGGTTGTACCAACAGTTCCAGAGAGTAAATATCGCAGCACGCAGTGCCGGATTTAAGATCCGGGACGTCCGGGGCAGCTATCCTTCGGGGGGCTCTCATACTATCTGCTTTTGATCTTGATATGAAAAAAAATTACATATCAGAGTTGGTTGGAAATGCTATACTAATATCAATATGAAGCTTTAGTGTGATAAGTTAACTTCAAGTCCCCTAATCGATTAATGTATGAGCTAGGTAAATAGTGTGCGCTTGACTAATGCTGTCGGCTCTTCGCTCAATTTCAACTTTTATTCAATTTTCACACTGCCGTACTCTAGCGGAACTATCAACCTATCCTCTTCAGAACTTTCTCTAGCTAATAAATTATAACACTAAAGCTTCATGTTTATATTAGTGTAGCATTTCTAATTAACTTTGAAAATCTTAAACTTCACGTATGAAGTAGCAAAAAACACTTTGAATTAAATTAAACATGTTTTTAAGAAATCAGAAGAAAATCTAAATCTACGTTTCTCTACAAAAACAAATGAAAAAAATGAAACGATTGTAAATTGATCACCGGGTTTGGTTGGTTGGTAGTATATATCAAGAGAAATCTTAATAGCATTTCATTATGAGAACAAATGGTAGCTTTGACGAGTTTCTCTTTAAAAAAGTGAGTTTTTCGGCATAAATTTTAATTTATTTTAATTGACGTTCAATAGCATTCAATATCAATTTTCAAACACACTAATATGAGCTGCATTTGCTTAAATAAAACATATTGTATGATTTAAATCAATATATCTCAAATATATCTCAATATACCTCTAAGATATTTTTAGGAATTAAAGTCTATTTGATGTAAATTTTCAATAATTGATGACATTTTGCGTTCATTAGCGTAGTTTTTAGAAATTCATTCAGATCATCATGTTTTTGTTTTTCAAATTTCATGTGATAGGGGAAATGGCTCTAATGCTGGCCTATGGATCCAAAACTGGGTCCATCGCTAAAAATCTTCTAATTATAAATTTTTCGTAGATGAACTTGTCATTGAGACGGTACTAATGGATATGTTTGGTCACTATTGAAAATTTAGTCGATTGCTGAATTTATGTATGGGCCCAAATTAGGGGCACTTAGGCCGACATTACATCCATTTCCTCTATATATTCTTCAGTACTCTAAAAATACTAACGTTGCTGGAAAATATTGGATTGATCAGTGTTGATCGAGTAAAAATGTTAAAAGTATTCTTTTGAACGATTGTTCAAAATATAACACAGAAAACATTAATTTCAGTCAAATTTTATAAATCTTCGTATATCTCAGTTGTTTGAAGAAGTATAGCTTTTATGTTGTCAGCAACTTTTCATAAAACTCTACGTTCTATAACTTTGCCCAAAACAGCAAACCTCTACCTTGTGAAACACAAAAGTTTGTATCGCTGCGCCATCTCTGCGGCCAAAACTTGAGCTATTTTAATCCACCAAATTGTAGTCCTAATTAAATCAAGAAACTTCACTCCAAACGTCAACTCAATTGGATGCAATCCCAAAGCGATATTTTTTCCTGCTCACGGTCCACTGTGCAGTGACTACCAAGAAATAACTATTAAAATATCGACCCAGTGACCCATTCGGCCTAAAGACTTTTTTTTCCTCGGTTCGGGACACAAACCACTGCGACCAGTAATTTGATCTATTGTAGTCCTGTTGTCCTTAGTTGAGTACCATCGAAGAGTTAGAGCACCCTCCCAAGGCGCGCCTTTTTATCAGTCAAAATTAACCGTTTCCAAAGCTGGTAGTTATAGCTTTTTTCTCACAGCTGGCAACCCCCTCCGTGGTAGGCAAACAGTTTTTCCAGTATGGGAAAAATCGTCAATTCATTAAATTCAATTACAAAATGGGTACCACCCGCAGTTGCGCAAAAAATAGCCGCTTTAGTCAGTAAATAAATGATAGGGATAAATGCAGTTGGTTTTGAATAATCGAGAAAAAACGAATCATAAACATACATCCTCTAATCTAATCTAATATAACACCAACACAGCCAGTTCTTGAAAGCATCCTGGAAAATTATGAATATACCTTCATCATTTGTCTTGTCTATTTGATATGTTTCACATCGAAGATGCGTCACACATACCAAAACGACTAGGCCAGTGTTCACTCGGCTGTCTACAGAAGCAGACCACTCTCAATGTGTGTCACGCGATCGTCTGTTTACTCGGCAGCAACCATTTTGTGGTCCTCCTCATTGTTCTTCATCAGCGGTTTTTTTCAGTAGATGCGTCGTCGACTTTGCAAAGCAACCGTTTCGTGATGAATGTGTGAGTGCTGACCACGTTTTGCGTCCACTGCTACAATGGAAGCGCTCTGACCCTCGTTGGCGAATCTGCCATACAAGTAAACCACTGGAAGCGGCTCCCGTTCTAGTAGAGGAGGCTTATTAGATAGCGGAAGATAAAATGTTTATGTGTTGTACCTTTTGACTATAGTTTTAATATGTATTGTATAGTGAACAAGAATCCTCGGCTCTGTAAAGTTAATTCGGTTGAGCCTTGCCAAATAAATTATTAATAATAATAAAAACGACTAGGCCTACTGTGCAGCATTTAAGGGGCAAGATGATTCAGCAAACATCAGGAATGTTTAAATTGAGGATTTATACACGATGCTTTAGAATCTAATAAATGGATGACACGTAGACATCTCTTACCGTAAGTTCCGTTTTTGGTAGTTATATGATTGGTTGGTCGTTGGAAACATCTAGACTAAAAAGGTTAAGTGATGCTCCATTTTCTTCTGGCGATTGGGACATCAGGACTAACTCTTGTCGTAACCTTTTATGGTTAAAAAAATTATTGGTTTGAAATCGCAAGGATAAATCGGATTGAAGATGGCGCGGGAAGTGGCGGGAGTGTGAAATTTCGTTGTTTTGATATCCATAGGGTAATAAAAGTCCTGTGTTTTAGTGTTTTGTAATGCCCTCAAAGGCAGACCAGAAACCTAGCCTTTCAGCCGGAAAGATTTAGAACCGGTGGGGAGCATTGTTGGAGACCGACTATAGAGGGTGATGAAGAGACTTCTTTAGTTTGTTTTGCGTGAGTTGCAGCATTATTTGAATTAACGGTACTAATGAGGTCTGATTAACTGCCTCTTTCTCTGGAGCCCACCCTGGAACCTACATTTCGTTTTTAGATCTATAACTGCTAGACTGAGTTCCTCTGGTATATTCAATCAGAAGATGTTCCTGAACATACCGTCAAACAGCACGTAATGTTCTGAACAACTTCAGTGACAGTTGTAATAACAATCTAATGCCTACGGGATTGTGCCGAAGGTATGTCGAAAATGTGCCGATGGATGTGCCCAAGCTGTGTAGAATATAATTTCGGTACAATGTGCTGAGTGACTTACCCCTTGATTTTGATACAAATATTAACCAGGCAAATTTAATTCAACTACAGCACATTAGCCTGATATGCTAAATCATAAAAAAATGTATGTTCAGGTTGTCTGTCTTTAAGATTATCCAATCCAAAAATGGAATTTATTTTAATTAATATTCAAGAAACCATGTGAATCAGGCATTCCTTAATAAATGCAAAGGTTATTTCCTTAGTACCACTAAACTTTAGTCGTGATTATGCCACATGATGTTATACTAGAGAAGTAACGGGTTGCTTACAACATTTGTTAATCTATTTTCAATGGAAAGGCTGAACCTATGTGAGCATTACCTACAATAAAGATTATGATAAAGATATTATGATAATTTAATTTACTCTTCTCAGAAACGTTAAACCACTTGGATTTCTATTACGAATGCAATCTTCTCCATTTTGATGGTGATCATTGAATGATGATTGTCTGCATTCAATTCAGGTGAAAACTGCTTAGGCTGAGAACCATTTGCCGAGTTAAATTTAACTCATGGTTAAAAGTGACATTTTGGAAAGTTATTTTCTATGTTCGAAAATCCCCGTGCTGTCGATCGACCGGTTTTCGAAAAGAACTCAGCCACAGTTGTCAAAATTTAACTTCTTGTCTGTCAGAAGTAACCACGCTCGGATGACAGGGTTAATCGGTAACTTTTTATCTGTCAAATTTTAACCAAAAGTAAAATAATCCATCAAATAGTTCAGAGTAGAGAGGGTCTAGTATAAGAGAGGAGCGGATTCAAAACAAACTATGCCTGGATGGTTTCTAGCAACACTGCCAACGCAATCAAGATAGGCGCTGCTCGATTGGCTCTGGCTGTGACAGTTCGGTTGGCTCAAAACCAGCCAGTCCGCTCCTCTATTATACTAGACCCTCTCTAGTTCAGGGCCTTAGTGAGGTTTAGCAGAAAAGGTACGAAGATTATGGGATTTGAGGATAGTGATCCAGTATGATACGTCAATAGATGATGGTGGACATCTGGGAAACAAACACGTACAAAAACAGGTTGCTGTGTAACCGTGCATTCAATAATGAGCCACTCGAGTAACTCAGAGTTACTCAAAATTAACTCCAATATTACTCATGATTAAAAGCTGTCTTGCCCCTACGCCTATGGTTATAGCGGCATGGCTCGGTTTATGAAAAGGGAAGAGGGTAAGAAAAGAAGAAGGACAAAGAAAAAAATGTTTATAAATACTCTATGAACATAAACAATATTTTTGATTTGAAATCTACTATACAATACAAAAATTCATAACAAGGGTGGTCACTACCCAAGTCTTGTCACTATTAACAAGACATAAAATTTAACATGGACTAAAATCTGTTCCTTTGATTACGGAAAAATCATTTTTTTTTTTCCTTTGATTTGTTTTCCGTCGATCTTGTTTTCCGTGCTGAGCACCAATGCTACCGACGCCAGGGAGGCAGCTCCCACACCTGGACCCTACCTAACGACCCATCAACTCATGAACCGG